CAGAAAAAGTTGTGAACTGTCTTTGATTACCTTGCTTATTTTTGAACACTAAATATAAAAGTTTAAAAACTTACTAATTTAATTCTTTACACAGTGGCAATAAATCAATATGTATGGCAAATTCTATGATATTAGCTGGAGACTATTGCAAGGTGTGAATTCATTTATTTATAATTAATATCTTTTCTCATCTTTTCAACAACAAAAATGTTAGTTTGGTAATGTATTCCAACTCAGAAAAAAATAATCCTAAACATTAAGATGTTTTTGTCTCATATCAAATGACTGTTCATATTATGTACATTTTCATTATAAAAAAATTCAACAGGAAAACTTAAGTGCTTTTTAATGTTAATAAGCATTTTCTTTTTGTCTTAAATAATTGACTATCATCATGTCAAATTTATTTGTTGTCAATAGATTTGATTTGAATAACTTTTTAAAATCATTTCACCCCAAGTAAAGCAATAAAGCCACCAAGATATAAGGGATCACGGTGTAAGAAAATATGACAAAAAAAAAAAAAGAAACAATTAAGGGCATAACAATTTAAAAAAAAAAAAAAAAAACTAGAATTGTTATTGTCGTCGTTCAGAGGAGCTGCTAAATGAAGGTTTTAATTTTTCTTTGTTATTGTCTTCAGTTTTTCCCTATTTATCATTTTAAAATCAGAATAGCTAGATTTTTAGCTGTAAGTTCTATGCTAACAGTTTCTTACATTGTGAAACTTTCCTGGCTTCCCAGTCAACTTTGATCTTCAAAGATTTAAAATGCAATAATGTCAATCAGTATCTTTTGTCTTAAATTAAGAGAGAACCATAAAAAACATGGATTAAAATTCTTAATTCATGCTTTTTTATGGTTATCTCAACTTAATGTTTCCTTTTCTTTCATTCTCTAACACTCAGTAACTCCTTGCATCTTAGTGACTTTATTGCCTTGCTTCATGGGGGTAAAAATGATTATTATAAAAAGAAAAGATTTCGTCATTCGTTATTTTTTGTAAACACAATCCTTCTACCCACCAACTTCCCTTAGCGATTCCTTTTACTGGACAGCAGTATAAAAATAAATTATGTAAAAAAAAATCTTTTGTTTACACTACTTTATAAACAATAAAATAAACGTCCGTGCTGAATAATCATTTAGAGAATTTTCTACAACTATATTATTTTTTGAATAAGTAATCAAAGAGAGATAAAAAAAAAAAAAATCATCAAATAACAACAATAACATTGTTGATTGTAAAAACGATGAGCATTTATATTGTGTGTGCCAAAAGAGAAAAGACATCTTGAAAGAGAAAAACTGGTTATGCTGCTTTTTTCTTCAGCTGTCAATCACCACTTAAAAGCATGGGAACAACATTTGAACATTAGACAAGGAGACAAAAAAAAAAGATATTACGAGAGAGAATGCAGAAAAGTTCTAGGCACGACCAACTTCTAAAACGAACAGAATTCCTTTCTGGTCGGTTCAGAAGTTTTCACCACCTCTCCTAATGTTACTGTTGCATTTTATTTTTAACTTTATTTCTTTGTAGAATTTCGATACCTATTTCTTGTGCCTACTCAATTGCGAATAAAAATTGTCCTTTTGCTGGCAAACTAGAATGAAAAATAAAGCTGAATAATCAGCATATGCAAGTAAAGATGAAAAAAAAAAAAAAATAAAGCCACAGAAACCCATGAAAATAGAATTTATTTTAAAGACATTAGAGACCATCCAGCGCCAATTTTTTTTATTTTAAAATTAAATCAATAACTATTTTCATAAACTTGTGAATAAGAACGACTGAAATTTATTCTTGGGCATAATTGCGATTTAAACACTGAAAAACTGAGGTGAAATTAAAAATGATAAAAGCAGATGAAAACAATTCACACTTTTTGACAAACTTAGTATTTAAAAAAAAAAAAGAAGCCAAATTCAACTACAAAAGTTGTGTAACATTTTTTCCCTTTAAGTCGAAAATAAATTGAATAGCCTGCTGAGCCAAATAGCCTAAAATGGGTAACTCAACACAAACTGGGCTGAAAAATAATGGATCGTCTTCTCTTTGCAAATTCTTGCTAACCTAGCATTTTCACAGAAGCAATAGCACACTTAAACTTGCAGATTTGTTGAAAAGGACTGACAGAATTTTAGTTATATTGGCGGTGGATCTGTAAATTCTAAATTAATAGCCCTTAAACTAAAAAAAAATAATAAAATAAGATGCAATTATTTAATTAATTTTAGTTGTTAAACTCCAATTCTGAACTTTTGAATTTGCTTTTTTTTTAAAAAAAAACTTTGGAAGCAGGCTCACCCCCACCTTTCAATAACACAGTTCGATTGGTTCGATCTTGTATTTTTATTTATTTAACAGTTAACTCTAATTTCTTCATTTAATCGCAAAGTGTTGTAATTTAATTACTGGGTTCTAAATAACACTTTTTAATTGTATTTTCTTTTTTTGAAGAACCTGCAAGCCATTCCGATTGGTTAGTTTATCCCTACTTATTTTTTTTTTTTTTTAAATTCTTAAATTGCCCCTACTTTTTTTTTTTTTTTTGGGGGGGGGGTCTTTTTAATTTGACCTTTTATTGATCCAGAAATTTCATAACATTACAAAAATAAAAAAAAGTATATGACTGATTTTTTTATTTTTCTCTTCGAGATGGGAGTCATCTGTGTGTTTTTACTTACTAGTTATCACTGAGTGGAGTAAAAGTGAACTAAACTTTTTTAATAATAGTCTTCTTACTCTTCTTATTTAAATCTTTAAGAATTATTAAAAAATTTAAAGAAAAAAAAAAAAAAAAAAACAATGAATTTACTTTGCTTTAACTTTTTTCTGAAACAAAAAAAAGTGATATAATTTTTTTAAATTAGTTTTTATTTTACTTTAATTAATGTGTGCAGACTACTAGATTACTAAAAAAATCTGTCCCCCATACACACACGGTGTTAGAATATCAATCCCTTTCAAAATAGTACAAAGGAGGTGCTGAAAAGATTTCGGCCCGGCCCACTTCCTAAAAGCACTACTGATGCTTTTTGGTCATTGAAATACTAATTTTGGGAAGTAGGCCAAGCCGATAACTTTTCAGAGTCCATTTCGTAAGAGAATATTATCTACTAAGAAAATATTTAATTTAAGACAAACATGAGTGAAGAGAAAAAACACGATTTTTCCAGCTGTTCAAAAACGTTTCAGTTTACTTTAAGTGGTGAGTAGTTCGAGCCTTGTGAGACTCTTCTTCTCTTTACTTTAAGGAAGGAAAAATGTGACTTCAGAAAATAGAGACCATTTATTTATTGCAAAAAAAAAAAAAAAAAAAAAAAATTATTATAATCACTTTATGAACACAAAAATAAAAAAGCTACAAACAAGAAGACACACCCACATTTACAGCAACAAAACTTTTACTTATTGTTTAAAGACAATTATTATTATAAAAAAAATAGAAAAGTAATAAATTTTAAAAAATAATTAAGATTGGATTTAAAAATAAAATTTAAATGTTTTATATCGCAAAAAAAAAAAAAAAAAAAAAAAAAAAATCATTTGTTATGAATGAATGATTTCAGATTTCAATTCATTGGCTGTGATATTTTTGTTTTGATTTTTTAATTAAAAAACAAAAAACTATATACGACTATTTTTTTAAATTTATCTAAAATAATCATTAAATAAATAAATTTCACAAAAATATGAAAAATTATCCAAATTCATTTTCGCGATTAAACGCGGACATAAGCAAATTTGAAATCTCGTTTTTACATTTAATCAAATTCAAATGTTTTCAAAGCTACGAAAAATTAGTTAAAAACTAAATGTATTTTAACATTTGGGTTATTTAATCTTTTCTACAATTGATTACTTATTATCAGTAATAGTTAATCGAAAAAATAAGTAACACGTAGGCAAAAACAGGTAAATAATGAAAAAATTGATAATTTACAGCAGATACATTTCAAGTGGATGGAAGCGATGATAACAACTGCATAATGTTTGTAAAGTAGATGTCTATTAAAGTTAATTATTTACTTTTTAAAATGAGAAAACTAAAAAAAAATAGTGAATAAACAAATAATTGAATTGACAATTCAATTCAATAAATAAATCAAATGCTATTCGATCAACATCTGTTTTTTATTAACCGGCAAAGTGTTAAAAAAGAAGGGGTTAAAAAATGGACTTAAAAAGAAAATAGATGATTTTTATAATGATGAAGTAGTAATCAGAGATTTGTAAAAGGTTTTTTAAGAATTTACTTTTTTTAAATTTAAAAAATTATTTAAAAAGAAGTTGTGGGTGAAGTAGTCAGTTGTTAGATTGACTGTCATTTTTTTTTTACTTATATAATATTAATCATATATTTCAAATAAGTCTCGATTTGTAGATTTATATTTGCAGACATTCTGTCGTACATACATAGAAAAGAAGGAAATATAATTTTTAAAAAATCAAATCAAACGAAGAGAGTTTACTTTTTTTTTTTGAAGAATTTGCTAAGAGGTTTGAACAAATGCACTTATATACATTGTTACACCGACATCTGTTGTATAGTACACGTATATATATATATATATATATATATATATATAAGAAAAAAGTGTATGCAATTAAGATAAAGACATGCGTGTGGAGACGAGGGTAGACAAAATTTCAGCATTGATAATAAGTAAGTAAGTAGAAAAGAAAGAAAGTGTTTAGGTTAGGGGGCAAAATAGTCAGCTGGACGGGACGGAGTTCCACGTCGAAATAAAACAAAGATTTCAGTGAAATGAATACGAATTTTGAATTGTCAAAACGACCGGATATGATTTTAAACGACCATCATAAATACCGAAAAAAATATTAAAATGTTTCGGTTTCTTTTTGAAGTTAAAAGATGAAGAGAAAAAATACACGAGTTACTTGTCTGTTTTACATTTTTCTTTTCGACACTGGGAGTAAAAAAAAAAAAAAAAGGCTTAAAGGAGACTTAATGAAAAAAAAAACATCCTACCTGCTCTATTTCTGAATTTTTGTCTTCAGATTAACAACTTAAGAGTACTTTAACATGAGTAATGAACAGTAAGGTGTGAAGAGGAACATCCAAAAAGTGGCGTAAAAACTCTCCTCTTCGCTTCCCTGTATATTTATTTCAGGGGCGATCGGTTGTTGTTGGAAAACTCCAGTTTAGAGCTCCAGTTCCGATGCTGTGCCACGTACCGCTCACTTCCGTTGCACATGCGCACAAGCTGCCACGTAGACAGGAAATCAGCAAGAATTCTGGGATGTCAAGTGTCGCGTGGACAAGTGGCAGCCAAGTTGCGGGGGCGAATATGCACTAGTTGAACTACTAGTTGCTCAGGGTCTCTTTAATTTCCCAAACAATAAACTTAATAATTACCTTGTTTTGTCTTTTGAGCTGCTTCTTTCTTTTAGAACGGTTATAAAGTTAAACTAAGCTGATCAGCGTTTCTTTTTTGATAAAAATGTAACTGAGGACCTCGGGGCTTAACCTTACAAGTAAAATGCATCAATTTATTTTTTTTATAAAACTAATTAATAACTTGTAAATTTTATATTTAAACTTGATTATTTTGCCAATTTTATGCATTTGTTTGTGATTTGGGGGTTATGAATTCAAATATTAACTTTTATTTTTAATACTAAATTATAGAAATATAATTATCTTTACAAATTTAATTAAATATTCCATACACAATGAATTTATTTACTCTGTTGAAAATTTTACTTGCTTACTTCAGAAAGGATATGGTTTAGAAGTAATAAAATACTTTTTGACCAAAATTTAAAAAAAAAATTAATTTTATTATATCATAAAACTAAATAACCAGTTCATCTGTCCTGTAGATTTATAAGCAAAATGGACTTGATTAATTATTTCTTTAAACTAGTCTATAATTTTTCAATGATACATGGACTCATATGCAATCTACTTCAGATGGAGTATAATAAGAATCACCTATTTTATTGAATAATTATTTAATGAAAATTAACTATCAATAATTATTTTTTACTAATTTCATTACAGATTAATTTCATTATTAAAAATGTTTTAAAAAAGTGATTTATTCTGATGACTTCAAAATTCAAAGAAGAATGCTCTTATTGTGCATGATAATCTTATCAAAGAATTGGATATTATCAGTGTAGACTTACTAAGAAACATGTATAATTATTCATTAAATTTTTTAAGGTATTTGTTATATTTAGGTATGTGGTAAATATTGCAATGAATATAACTATTATTGCAAATGCATTTTTATTGTTCCTTCTGATATATTTTGCAACATAAGGTTCTGCATTATGTATTTATAAACAAAAGTAAGAATATTGTTAAATTTTCAAATCTTTTAAATTTAAGAACACTCTAAAATGCTCTTAAAGCTGTGCAAAGTCAAGCCAAACTATGGAGGATGCTAAGTGATGTAATTTAATGCCTAATAAATGAAAGTGAGCAAATGCTGTTAATTTTTTTATCTGCTTATTTGTTTATAAATATTTATTTATATTAATGTATTTATTATTTTAATTTAATAAATAATAAATATTCTTTAGATATATAATTGCATATTTGGGCAGCAATCTCTCTTTTATACAAATTTCATTGATGACACTTTCGTTGAAGCAAGAAATATTGAATAAAATACTTACTTGCAGTACCTTATCAGTTGTCTTTAATGAAACTTGTATACAGGGCCAGTGCATAGTACTATAGCAATTGCTATGTTTTTCACACCAACATACACTCCAAGTCATTTTATTTGCCTGTGATTGGTTAATAAATTACTACTACCTTTGTATAGGACAATTTAGCCATCGCAGTCGTTCCTTTGAATCTTTTGGTTCTGAGCATACTTACCTATTCTGTTTAGTACGAGTGTAGTGATTGGTTAATTTTTAACCAATTACATTTTTAATGTAAGGTCAAGTTTCCCCACGGTTCCATGGGAGCCTACCTTTTTTCCTTAAAAGGGGTGACTTTTTGCAAGTCGCCATTAAGATCCAGTAAGATTCCAGCCGTCAACACAAATCCACGATCTTGCTCAACGCACACAAAGACACAGAATTTCGTAACTACAAACTTACATTTTCTCTCTAACTTTTGCCAAGCACAATCAACCAGAATTTTGTTGATTCAAACCAGTTTATCCACAACACATTTCAAGCAATTGTATTCTTCGTGTTAGTCATTCTTCACATGCAAACTTTGCTCTAACAATTATTTTAGAACATTTATCTTGCAAGAGAACTTTCTTCAAACGGTTGATTACAATCAATTTACAGTTAAAGGGAAATAACTTCCTTCTCTTTAATCTATTTTGAATACAAAATTATTTCATGCTTGTTGTATTTTATTCAATATATATTTGTTGGTTAACAAATTGGAGTTGTTGTTATTATTACTTGAATACTATACATGGAAGTATCATTAATATAAACACTGAGCCAGTACAGTATCCCTAAAACCCCCGACTGGGAGGATGCAAAGGCTAATTGGGACCCCAAGGCAGTACATTGTGACACTTGCTATCTTATCAACATTTGCTTTTTTCTACTTACATTTATATACAGTGAGAATTAAACTAAGTACAACTGACTATTAAAGGATGAAAACGTTTCATGGATTTTGATGTCATTCTGTTTTTTGTTTTTTGCTAAAATCCATGAATTTGTTTTGCTGATGCTAAACCTTGAAAAAATACTCTATAAAATTCACTATATAATAATGTTGAATGTGTTAAAATTATTCGACTTTTTAACAAGAAAAATCTGAAGTTAATGTTAAAAATTGGTTCAAAACATTGATTTGTTTAAGATGGAATGATCTATTATGACATGTCTTTTAAATTGTATTTAGATACAGTGTATTTATTTTCAATTTTTCTACTTGAATTGTTCACCTATATTGCATATGATCTATTATTATTGTACATAATTAGATTATAATAAAATTTTTATTTTATATGAATACTACCTTCTGATAATTGAGATATAGTGAAGAGGGGGACCTGTATCATAGATTCAGTGGGGGGCACAATACCCTTGCACTGGCCCTGCTTGTATATATATATATATATATATATATGTGTGTGTGTGTGTGTGTGTGTGTGTGTGTGTATTTATATACATATATATATATGATAAAATAAAAAGATTGGGATTGCTTACAATCTTTGACAAAGTTTTAATAAAAGTGAAACATGTTAGATTGATATACATTTCCTATTTGTTCTTTATTTTATCATCTTGTTGGATTCTGATCCATATTTGATCTTTTTTAATCTTTATATATATATATATATATATATATATATATATATATATATATATATTATACACATGCATTTAGGTAAATTTAACTGTGGTTTATACTGTAACAGTACTGAGTGGACCTTAGTTATAGCTTCTGGGAGACAGTAATGACTAATTATACAAGGTCAGTACATTCAAACCCTCAGTCATGATGATTTATGACTTTATGATAGCACAACCACTGACAACACTTTCTAACAGTAGGACATGCTGTGACTGTATCTTTAGAAGTCATCATCTTGACAAAATTGACATTACTGAAATTCCACCCTGTGTCTCATAGTTAGAACATATTTCTAAAGAATTAATGAATTTTATTTATTAATGTGACATATTTTTATTGCTTTAATCCACTAAAAGTGACATTTAATGCAATATATATATATATATATATATATATATATTTATATATATATATATATATATGCACATTTCATTGAATACAACAGACAAGGTGCTTTGATTTAGTTTTTTATACAATTTATCATGTGATCTTATAATTTTTTCTTTTTGGAGGATAAATTATATAAAAACTGTCCAGTTGTTCTTTCTTTTCAAGCGCATTCAGCTATATATTTAGCCATTTTCAAGGTTGAAATATATTAACTGTTAACAAGAAATAGATTGTTGTATGTATGTATGTATTTATATAATGTTTTCGTTTTCATAACATGGTCAAGATATTGTGTCCATGTTACCTTCCAAAAAGAAAAAAAATTATAAAAGCATAAGAGAAATTGTATAAAAAACTAAATCGAAGCACCTTGTCTGTTGTATTGACCCTGGGTTTCACGACCTTGCAATCAGCAAATAAACCCTGGCGATTACAAGGACATGAAATTCAGGGTCACAAACTCACATGGATGACAGATGCATTCCATAGCAATTGTTTTATGGTGAGCTGCATACAGGGAAAAGAAATGCAGTTAAACCTAAGATGCACTTTAAGGCATGCATCAAGGGTGTGCCAAAGAAATGTAACATTCCTTGTGAGCATTGGGAATAATGTGCATTTGATTACAATAATTGGAATGAGGCTGCAAGTAGTGGAAGGCCTCACTTTGAAGATGAGAAAAGGAGGCACACAAAGCTTAAAAGACATGCGCATAAAGGCATCCCTGTTGAACTTTCTGAAGACACCCACAGGCAGCTAGATCTGATGTGTACAGATTGTGGTAGAGTGTGTTTATTGATGGCTGGTCTAAGGAGTCACTTGAGAGCACACCAATGGAAAGTGGAAATTGACTATAAAACCATAGATGTCCAGCAATTGAAATGTGATATTTATGGGTCCAGAAGCAGTTTCATGTGACATTTCAAATTTCATGATAATGTACCACTTGCTGTTGGACCTCTTAAGTGCCCTGTTTGTACCAGAGTATGTAGGTCCCTTCCTGGGATAAAGAGCCACATTTGTTCAGCACATCAGAAGATCTGTAGATCTCCCAAAAGATCTGTAGTAATGTCCATACTTGGACATGAGTTGACAACCACCATCAGGTTAATACACAAGCACTTCAACAATATCCCCTTACTGAAAAATCTCTTCAACAAGAACAACATCAAAGTTAGATACAGCTGCACCAAAAACCTTGAGCAATATATAGCCCTGCATAATAACATAGTCCTTAACATACACCTAAACAACACTAGTAGAAACAGTAGCCTCGATAAGCACATGTGCAACTGCCACAACCGTAACCTCTGCCCCATGAATGGCAAAGAATTATATACAAGGCCAGCATCATGCACAATGACCAGACCAAATTATATTTTGGATCCACTGCTATTAATTGGAAAAACATTTTTACCACCACAAGATGACACTCAACAATAAAAAATATGCAAACGCCACAGCACTCTCTAAGTCAAGGATGGCCAACAACCTGTGGTGCATGCACCACAA